GGAATAGATTATCTCTATTTCAATATGATAAAAGTCATTTCTAACAAATCAATATCCAACATACTAAATGGGGAAAAAACTGAAATCTTTCACTCAAATCAAGAACAAGACAAAGATGGCCACTATCACCATTAGTATTCAATATAGTGTTAGAAACATTAGCTAGAACAATAAGACAAGAGAAATAGATAAAAAGAATACAGACAGGTAAGTAAGAAGTTATCATTATTTGTGCATGGCATGATATTTCTACATAGAAAATCCTAAAATCTCCACCAAAAGACTTCTAGACTTAATAACCAAATTTAATAATCTAGCTAGATACAAAGTCAACATTCAAGAACCAACAGCCTTCCTGTACACAAATAACTCACTGAGAGAGAAATTAGGGAAACAGCATCTTTCACATTGGCGTCCAGAAAAATGAAATAGTTAGGAATCAACCTAGCAAAGGAAGTAAAAGATCTCTACACTGAAAAGTAGAGTACTCTGAGAAAGGACATCAAAGAGGGTATCAAAAACTGGAAAGATAGCTCTTGTTCTTGGGTAGGAAGAACCAAAATAGTGAAAATGGTTATATCCCCAAAAATGTTATACACATTTAATGCATTTTCCATCAGAACATCAACAGCAGACCTCACAGAATTAGAGAAAATGTTCCTAAAATTCATTTGGAACCAGAAGAGACCTAAAATAGAAAAAATCAAAGCAATATCAAGGAGCATCAAAATCCTTTACTTGAAATTACACTGCAAAGCTACTGTGGTAAAATCAACATGGTCCTGGCAAAAGAAAAATAAACCCAAGGATCACATTAGATGATGCAGAAACAGCTCCAGATATACTCAGCTACCTTACCTTGACAAAGGGGCCAAACATGTTCACTAGAACAAAGATAACTTCTTAAATAAATGGTACTGGAAAACTGGCTTTCTACATGCTGATGACTAAAACTAGATCCATGTCTATCACTGCACATTAAAATAAAATTAAAGTGAATTAAAAATCTAAAAATTAAAACAGAAACAGTCTGCAGAGAGAATAGGCAGAACTCTTAAAGACATTGGTATAGGCAAAGACTTTATAAACAAAACACCAAGTACACAGGAGCTATCACAAAGAATCAACCACTGGGATCTCATTTTATTAAAAAGCTTCTGCACATCAAGAGAAATCACCAACCAGCACAGTAAAAAAGCAACTCACAAGGTGAGAAAAATTCTTAGCCAGTTGTTCTTCAGACAGAGGACTAATCTCTACAACATACAAAGAACTGAGAAAAGGGGAAGGGAGAAAAAAGAACTGAGAAAAATCAAACCCTCCCAAATTTAAAGACCCAATCCAAACACGAGAATCTGAAGTGGATACATGTTTCCAGATGAAGAAAGACAATCAGCAAACAAACATACAAAAAATGTTCAATATCCCTGGTCACTGGAGAGATACAAATGCAAATAATGCTGAGATTCTATCTCACCCCAGAAATCACGGCTATGTTGAAGAAATCAACCAATAAAAATGCTGGAGGGGTTTTGGGAAAAAGGAACTCTTTTCCACTGTTGGTGGGAGTGCTACAACCACTGGGAAAATCATGGTGATTCCTCGAAAACTAGGATTAAATGTTGTATTTGACCCAGCTATTTCCCTTTTTAGTATCTTTCCAGAATAATTTAAAGCAGCATACCAAAGTAATATATGCACACCCATGTGTATAACAACACAGTTTGTAATTGCTACATCTTAGAAACAACCTAAATGCCCATCAACCAATGAATGGTTTAAAAAGATGTGTTTTTTATACAATGGAATGCTACTCAGCCATAAAGAAGGCTAAACTTGAGACCTTTATAGGTAAATAGATGTATGTTGAGACTATATTCTTAAGTGAAATAAATCAGACACACATGTAAATACGTCATTGTTTCTCTCGTGTGAGAAACTGAAAATGCAAATAAGAACCAAAATATATAATAGTGATATAACAGTTATGAAATAGGCAGAAATTGTTCAAAAGGAAAGGGGAGCTAAGGAGGTGGGGGAAAGTAATAAGGAGAAAAGAAAAAAGTAAGAAAAGAAGAATAAGTGGAAGCAAAACTTTGTAAATAAGGAAAATGGGGGGAGGAGCTAAGATATATCATCAGCAGGTACAAATTCCTTGTGATAAACGTGATCAAAATGTAAAACTAAACTGTATGATACATTTAATAATAGAAATAAAAAATTTCAAATACCGGTATGTATCTCAACACCAAAATTGTCTTATGAGTCAAACTAAACATTTCAAAGGTTATAAAATTTTAGTTACCTTGAGTATGCCTTTGTACTCTCAATACAATTGGATTTAGACTAAAGTTCATAGGAAACTCAAACCCCTACAGTTATAAATCCTTGTGAAGGGCTGGAATTTAATACTTTCGGATGCACTCATAAAGGCCAGTTATTAATGCAGGGTTGTTTGTTTGTGCAGTGCTGGGAAGCTGACCTGGACCCTTGCGCTTGGTAAGCAAGCACCCTGCCACTGAGCTGCACTCCAAGCCCCTTGCTGCAAGGTTTGAATGTGTTGTACCACGCAGCAATCACGCTCTTGCCTTAGAAGTAAATGATGCAAATCCTACAGTAATCACAGCACACTTACCTCTACTATGTACAAGTTGCAAATGTTCCCACGGAGTTGGTGAGAATATGGCTTAACATCTGTTTCTCTAGATAAAGTAAGCAAATCCCCACAATGGGGGAATTTTCTTTGATTTGTATTAGATTACTTTTATTGCTAGGTGGGAGTAAATGTTAGCAATAATAATTTTCTTAGAAGTTAGGGGAAAAGAAACATCTGACTTCCTCTGTTTATAACAGAAATTTCCTACGCCCCACATTAGAAGAGCGTGTGGGTCAGAGGTCTTTTCTTTCTCAGAAGAAATTTTTTATATCTGCCAAGTTAGATAAATCAAAAGAACAGCAATGATGAAAAAATGAATGTTAAAGAATTTCTCTCCATCTGTTTAAAAAGCTATGCTCACTTCCTCTGGGTATTTGCTCTGACAGAGCTGAGGGGCTGGACCTAGCACACTGGGTGTAAATATTCATTCCAGTTGAGATTCAGACATGGGGCATCACAGACACAGAACAATCAAGGGGTGTGTCAAGCATAATTATGCAAATAAATTTACCATATTTTTTCCTTTATTAAATAAATTCTAACAAAACCCAGAAGCATGTACACATTGCACCAACACTGGAGAAGCGTCTACTCACTGGCAACTTTCCGCAGTTGACAATGTGTTTGATATTTGAAATTCAGACTGGTCCTTGGAAGCAGCACTCTTCACGCAGTACCTATATTTGGCTCTCTAGTTCTACTTTCCCAGAAAATGAACCAGAGCCCAAGCAGAAGGGCGGAGTCCAGGTTCCCGGGGAAGGGAAGCTGTAAGATGAGACTGGGGCATCTCATCCCAGAAAGCAGGAAAGCAGTCCAAACAGTGCACAGTGGCTGTATGTCAACAGGTCAAAGGAGCCGCTGGAAGCAACTTCCAGCCTCCAGAATTAGAAATTTTTGAACAAGAAAAATTTTTTTTAAAACTTGGCCAGTTATGGTGGTGCACACCTACTAACCCCAGCATTCAAGAGGCTGAGGCAGGAGGATTCTGTGAGCTGCAGGCTGGCCTAGAGTATATTGTCTCAAAAAATCAAAACAAAAATGGATTATAATCTAAATGATAAAACAACAATAATTCCACACTGATCTCAATAACTTACAGAACAAAGGAATATGTGACTGAGAGGAGGCAGATGTCTTCTGCAGATGGATCCTAAATAGTTGAGCTAGGTCCTGCCCTGGGAAGAGGTGGAGAAAAACCAGGCTCACATGTGGGCAGCAGTGCCTTCCTTCCTAAGGGGACCATCGGGAACACGGTGAGGCCGTTCGAGCAGGACCCTGACAACTGTCACCTCAGCCAAGCAGCCAGGCTGGCCCGTGCCTTCCGGGACTTACTTCCCAAAAGGAGAAGCTCCCATCCAAGAACCAGCAAAACGTCAGAGAAGGCAAGTTGTGCAGCAGTCTGCAAAACACCTGGTGAATTCTATACCATGAAGAGACAGCAACAGTGGGAGCCCAGCAGAGTCAGGAGCAGCCCAAGGACGTGACAGAAAGAGAGAGAGAAAGCGAGGTGCTCCCGGGGCAGACGGAGGGCACCATGGCGTCGGAGCACTGTGGAGAACACCTGTCATGCCAGCACGCTGAGAGGCTGAGGCAGGAGGATTGTACAGGTGAGCCCAGCTTATGACATAGTAAGACCCTGCCTCAACACTGAAAAGAAAATAAACAAATGAAAAAGTCCAGGGGATGGAGCTCAGTATGAAGGCCCTGGATTTTATCCTCAATACTAAGGAAAGGGGAACTCTTATGAAATATGACTTTAGTTAACAGGACTATATCAAGTTTTGGTCATTAGCTGTGAAAGTTTTACCTTACTAATATAAAATGTTAATCATTTAAGTCAAAAGGAAAAAAAAACAAAGCAAAGAACAAGAAAATATGGGACATATGAGAACTCTCTGCTATGCATAAATTTAAAATCACTCCAAGATTTTCAAGTTTACTTTAAAAATTAATCACACACCCAGGGATATAGCTCAGCAGTACCATGCCTGCCCTGCATGTGGACTTCAGCTGCCAACACAAGAAAAATGTCGGTTACAGCACATCTCCCATGGATGACCAGAATTAGCTGGAGGATGTCTATGAAAACATGACAATAAAGTTTTAAAAAATTTTCTCCCTTTTTCCTTAATCAGGCTGCAGTAAGAATGAGGGTCCATTCATTCATTTGTTCACCAACTATATTTCAAACACATAATATATGCTAAATTCTTTGCCAGGTGGTAGAAACACAATGGTGAGAAAAATAGTTTAAGGGTTTGGCCACTGATTCATAGTGAGGAGAAGGGAAATAATAGCTAAGGGTTGCACAAACAAGAGCCCAGAGTGCTAGGGAAGGCAAATGCAGAGAAACGGGAGCCTTTGAAAGGCAGAGCTCCTTTCTGCAGCGGGGAGGCAGCTGTGTGGTCAGGGAGTGGCCAGAGGGAGCGGAGAGAAACTGGGCTGTGTCCTGTGGGTGAAACCAAGGGGTGTCCTGACCAGCAGGATATCCCTGACCAAGGTTATGGCGGGGGCCTGGGTGCCACGGATGGCAGCAGGCATGCCAGAAGGACTGGGAGGATGTGGGCGCAGCTAGAGGGGCCCCCTAGGGAGGAAGTGAGAAAGACCAACACGGTCTGAGACTGGAGACTGTCTCTTCGGGACTGAGGTGACATCGAATTTGGTTTACAACCACCTGCATGCTCAGCGGCGAGTTCCTACGGATGAGCAGTGCTTTACTGGTAGTTCGTGGGTAGCTACTGAATGGACTAGTGAATAAAGTCACGTCACACTCAGCAGTTGGAACTTTCAGGTTGAATTCACATGCTTCAGGCTTGGTCCAGGTGAGTGGCAGGTGGCCTCGCCTTGCAGCATCACCGGTGAGTGACCGCTAGGGCACACTAGGCCCGGAAACATCATGTGCCATAGACTCTGCTGTGTCTCTGGGTATCAGAAGGTTTTTGTGTGGTTGATTTTGTTTCATTTTGCTTGTTTCTGCTTTCGCATTCTCCTACAGAAGAAAGGATTTCCTGGGCTGATTCACATTTCAGAGTTCAGTCCTTTCTTCACAACAAAGCTGTTTTCTTTCTAGCCAACAGAAAGCAGCGTTCAACAGGGCACACACTGCCGTGGCTTCCCCTTCCCCTCCGTGAAGGACAGTGGCACGGACCAGAGACCACACAGCTCACATGGAGACTTCGAAGCACGGCAAGGCCTTCATTGCTGTACTCAACATCAGGAAAACCCTGGAAGAGGCCACTAGCGGGACACTGCTCCAGGGATGTTTCTGAATCCATTCTGATTTATTTTAAGCAAATCTTATACATGTGAGTAGCTGAGTGTTTTATTAAAATTAGTGATGGTCTGAACACATTTCATTATTAACCTCAATAAATTTAGAACTTCAACTTCATTTAATACAATTATTATGCAAAACAAAGAAAATCTCCTAGAAAATGGTTTGGGACACATTAAAGTAGGAATAATCTTGATATTAAAGTGAGAATGGAAACATTGTCATATTACCTCATTTCTTTCATCGAAACTTTTGCTGGAAATATTAATACCACAGCACTTACAGGCTAGCAGAGCTGCTATATATCACAGAGCAGGTCGCAAGCTGCCCAAGCCCAGGAGTCTCTGGGAATCATAGATACTGACCGCATGCTAAGCAGTTTAACCTCGTATTGTACAAGGGGTTCTACGATCTCCCAAAGGTACTATGTGGCTGATATCAAGTTACTCACAATTGATTTATTGATTGGACTCTGGATGGTTTTGAGCTCATTCTTTGAGTTAGTTTTCTAAGTTTCACTGATGAGACTATTCAGTGAAAACCAAATTATTAATTATGACTCCTTTGTACTCATCAGTGAGTATATTAAAGCTTTTCATTGAAATTTTTATTTAAGCTATTACCATGTACTGATATTTCACCAGTTTTATTGCTATGCAATAAAATCTTAATAATATTTTATGTAGTTTTCATGGCAACCCTGAGGTCTTTGGTTTTTAGTTCTGCGAGGGAAATGTTAGTTTTTCTATGAAATAGGCCTGGACTGTGTGGATCAGAGCTCTCAAATTCTCAGGTGCTCGTGAAGCCTACATGACTGCAGTTTAACTCATTTTAACTCTTGTGTGTAATGTGGGGCTTTTAAGAGAAACTAAAAATGCTTTGACCCAGCCCGAGAACTGTGATCCTTTCTGGGGCAGTATATTTTCTACCGTACACTCTGTAAGGTTTTTCCTGTTTAATTGTAACAGACTAACTTGTTCAATTAATTTCATCAGTTGTAGTGATTAGTTGCAGTGTCACACATCTATAATCCCCACACTCAAGAGGCTGAGGCAGGAGGGTTCGGAGTTACAGATCAGCCTGGGCAGTTTAGTGAGTTCAGAACTCATTAAACTTAGAACACAAAGAAAGACACAATATCAAGAAAAAAAAAGTTCAATAGATCAATAAATACTATGTAAAATATATTTTCATAAACTGATATTTTTATAGATAGGTTTTTAAAAATAAATAGCCATAAAATTTCTCATAGTAGAGACTTACTGGTTAATTCAAAGTAAGTTTTAAACGTGGACTCTAGGAAAAGATCCACTATATGCTAATACAAAACATTTCCAGGGTGAGTAATCACAGGTGTTTATCCACAGAAACTGACTTTTTAAGACTACACGTCAACCCTGAGATATTAATGCAATTCCCCCGGGCAGCTGAATCCCTGTCTCGTGCTGCGCACCCCAGTAAAGCTGCGGAGCCCCAGCCAGGGACAGTAGCTACACCTGCCAGAGGCTCCTCCTGCACCAAGGGCCACTGGAACAGGGGACAGACTGACATGGGTCAGGCAGATGGACCGCGGGACACTGAAGCAGCTGCTCAGCGCCCACACGCTCCCCTGGCCAGTGCCTTCCCAGTCCTGAGGTCGCCCTTGGAGGCTGCGCGTGGCCTGGGCCACACTGGTGCCCTCAAAGGCTTGCACCGTGACTTTCCGAAGCTGTGGATGTGGCTTCCCTCACAAGAGTCTAAGAGAATGCGAAAAGCGGGGGTGGGGGACGACACGACACGCTAAGAGGAGAGGATGTATTCTAGGAAAAGCAGGATCAGTTTCCACACCAGTGCACAATGAAAGGCCGTCTGGGTACTGCTTTACAAACACTAATGAGAGGATTAGCAGAAACGGGAAAAGTGGACCGTAGTCATGGAAATGATAAAACACAGTTTGCATGGGACTTGGAACTTACGATTTTTTTTACCTTCCTGAATAAACAGTTTGTTTGAAAAGAGTGCAGAGATAATCACTAAATGAAAATTTAGCAGTTTGTAACTGCCAGGCACATCTCTGCTGCTGGAAGCTGGGCACGACAGAGGACCAGCAATTCCGAGATGGTTTATTGCTGCATAAACGAGGCTGAGACTTGTAGAAAGGAGACAGTTGCCACATGGTTAGGTACTTACACAAACTAAGTGAGGGGAAGTTATTCTCCATTCAAAGATGGAGTTCGCACAGAAGATGCATCTGCTGTGGTAAAAGTGAGGTGAGAGACGTTCAACACTTCTCTACCTCTGAGTGGCTAAGAGGGTTACCATCTATGGACACCAGCTAGTTACAAGTGACCAGGTGGACACCATGCTCACGAAGATTCTGAGGACTCACTGGAAAAGCGTCCAATGGGCTCTGTGTGCCTGGAGTGTGCGTGGCGAGTGACAGCCCGTGCTAGCCTTCTGTGGTTGTAGCTAATAGCTGAAATGCAGAGTGGCTTTCAGTTTGGGTCTCAAGGTTTAGAGTTTTCAGTCCATAGTCAGACGGGATTCTTACTTTTGACCTATGGCAAGTGGCAGCTGGATCACAGGACCTAGCACCTCCCCAGGGCCAGGCTGGTGACAGAGCCATGGGAGTCTGTCTGTAGCCCTTTGGGTGAAACTTCTCAGGGCAGCGTGGCATCTTCCTAAAGCTTACCACCCCCAGAGCTAACAGAGCTTAGAAACTAACGGAAAAGGTGAAGCCTATTCTATTCATATATCTTTGAATATATGGTTAACCTTTTTATCTCCTAAAACCTAAAGAAATTTAGTTAACTGTGTAGTAAAGGTTTTGTTTAAGTAACACCTTGTACTTTGAGGCCTCCGAAGCTTTGTATAATATTTTCATATTTGGAGCATTTTCTGATTGTGAAAATTAAACAAAAGACATTATAGTCAACAAACAGCATAAGTTTTAATTTTTAAAGGAGGTTAAAAAGTACCTACCGTATAAGCAAGAGTCTGATGTTTCTTACAGACTGCTTGGGTAGTGGGTAGTGGAATCTATAAAAAAAATCAAATATATAAAATATGGCAGTAAAGATTAGATGTCCTTCCAATAGCTGAAAATTATTGAAAAGAAAATCATGATTACAATTTGAAAGTCAAAGTGGTAGAAAGCAAATTTTCACTGTACTGTGAGCTGTGTACTGATTGCTAGAAGCTCATCTCCAGGCAAGATTCAGCATTTATTTTTTTAGTAAGCATAAAGATAATCACACTCTAGTTAGTACTGAGAGCATCTCAAGAAAGATGCCTTTGGTGGTCGTAATAGAAAATTTTAATTATCTTACCCCTATACAGATGTACCTGCCTGAAGGGGAAAATGCAGATTAGGAGTAGGTTTAGGATTAGAATTAAATACAGCCTAACTCACGCAAAATTAACATGCCTCAAAGATGAGTAGCTTTAGAGAACGTCTTGCTCACTCAAAAAAGTCTATTGTGAAAATCTTGTTTTCTTTTAATTAAAATAAGTTGACCCTTCCTCATCTGAGAGTCTGTTTTCAAAGGAAGAATGAGTCATGACAGAAACGTTGTCAATTTTGTTTTATGAGGTTTGGCAAAGGACACTTATTCTCCCCATGTTTTATAATACCTCATAATAGACTTAGGAATTCCCCCCACTAAAGTGAACATTGCGACATGAGCTTGCATTTGGAGTACTTTGCAGCCTTTCATTTACATTAGGCGGCTGTACTGTGAACTGCACTCAGCATGGAATGGAGGTGTTCAGGGCCCCATAGGAGACAGAGAATTAGGATACAGCCAGTTACGGGGATTTCCAAGGGAGCTTGGTTGCTATTCGGCTAAGCTGGGAACTCAAACCCAAACTTTTCAAGTCAGGGCTCACTTGTTCTCCTCCCACTTCCTGTCAAGTGTGGAGGGCAGTTCCCAGGAAGGACGACTTTTGACCTTCCTTCAGGAACACGTGCTCTTCTTCCACTGACAAGCAATTGGTTCACAGACAATGCAGTTTCATGACCACAGAAGAGCACTGCAAGGCTACGCAATTGTTTTATTCTTTATGTTCTCCTTTGCACCATATTCTTTCATCATCTTAGTCCGTTTTGTGTGCTGTAACAAAACACCTGATATTGACTATTTTATAAACTGGAGAGGTGAATTTAGCCCACAGTTTTGCTAGCTAAAAGTTCCAGATTGGGCAGCCCATATGGTTCACCACTGATAATGGATTCCTGGCTAGGTCTTATGTGGTCGGTGGTATCACATCTTTGGTGACCAGCTTGCTCTTCTCTAACAACTCCCTCCCACAGGAATTTGCCCTGTCCTGTGAGACTTCCCCAGGCCACACTTCTCAAAGATCGACCACGGTTGAGCTCCAAGCATAGGATCCTTTGGGGGACACAGTTGAACCATTTCCAAACCCCAGCACCCAGTCAACCCACCACCATGAATTGTGTCTTTACAGGTCCAGTTTACACTTCCCTCCTTCCACAACTTTGACCCTAACTCTTTGTCTCCCTCCTGGATCGGCCGCTGAACATGCAGTGGAGAGGAGCCAGACCTCAAATATGCCAGATAGAAACGCATTTGAGCGTCCCACCAACCACAGAGTGGAAAACCCAGGCCCAGAGTCTGGGAAGCTCTTGCCCTGTGACATGGGCAGCGAATCTGGATGAGGTGGAAGTGGCTGTGACCCCTGATGTGCCCTGTCCTGCTCCATCGGCCAGGCTCGGGCCGCCTGCCTCTTCCATCCCTCGATTACTTAATTTCTACTTAGAAAATTGCAAGTAAATTTCTTATTTTTTTCCCCAATTTAAAAATAAACACATTTATTCCTTAAATCTTTGTTTCTAAGACTACAAAAAAAAAAACCCCAAAATTAAAGTATTTGACCCATTTAAATTTACCCTAAAAATTCACAATGTCAAGAGTTGCCCATGGCCCGTTCCCTAGCATCGTTTCATTTATTGGGAACACACAAAGGAAAAAGTGTACTTTTTTAGATTCCTTTATATTATTTTCATATATCTTATAGACTATTGCTGTTGTTATCATCTTGTCCTGATTGAGAATTTTTGTTCAAGTGCAGAGGGAGGGAAATTCACTAAAAGGAACACAAGTCCATTTGGGGTTGAAATTCCTAATGACTTTCTCACCTTAAAAGGAAATGATGCCTAATTATTGGACTTTCATCAAGTTAACTTGCAAAATGATCATGCTAACCACAGTAAGGGT